CCATCAGAAATCTTTGAAGCTCTGAAAAAATCAGAGGAGGTTTTTATGATAGGCCTGTTCTGCTTTATGTAAAATGTTCTATAAGGTAAGATTCAGTACAGAGGGTGGTTTCAGGTAAGCATGCTGCAATTCATCTTGCCTCGGATTGACCTCTTCATTGGAAAAGGCCCAGCTTCATCTCCTTTCTACAATAAAATGGTGGTGGATTAGTGACTCTGGTCTACTGGCTACCTTATCTGGAGAGGAGCCATGAATTTAACTTTATTTGTAACAGATGATGGTGTGTCATCGTGTCCAACATCAAACATGACTGACTGATTCTCAGCTTGATGAGCATCTTCAAAACGCAGAATGACCACTTAATAATGTGAAACAGTTTGACGATGACAATTCAGTCAAGTCCCATGTTTCAAACTTCTCTCTCTTTTTTTTTTTTTATGAGGAGGGAGGGTGGCCGACTTTTGGGAAATGCATCTCTCATCAAAGCTTGTCTGAGTAAACTAGACAAGATGAAAAGTGGTAAGAAGTTAGAGTTAGTATTTATTTGCATAAAGTCTTTTGCCCAATACTATTAGCTTTTCAATATTTTTCTGAAGTAGTATTTTTTCTGACTGCAAGTCTGTACACTAGAATCCATTTCTTTGAGAACTGCCATTCCCAAGAGGAAATGGGGAAGAGCATCTCTGCATTATTTCTATGTGCACACATCAAAGGAAAGAGATTCCCTGGTATTTCGTTTGTCCCCATGAGTTCATTTTCCTTCAATATTTTTAAAACCTTATTATTTTTAAAAATTTATGAGTTTTTAAGCCCAACCAGAAATATTTCCTTTGTAATTTTGTGCAAGGACTGTTTCCTTTCTAGTGTCAGACATTTTAATTAAGCTATTACATTCTAATAAATATCCCCCACCAAAAAAAAGTTAAAGAATCATGGTTATTTCTCAAGGCTACAAGTAGTTTGGTAGCCAAACATTATTGGTACGTTTTCTTAATTATCTGAAGTTGAAAGCTTTTTTTTTTCCTTAAAAAGAAATATTTCTGAATGCCTGGGTTGGATATTTACTTTTATCTAGCACTTTATTAATTGTGCGCCTTTTGTCGCACTTACGATTCATTGCCACATATAAATGGCTTCAGTAGGTTTGGAAGTGAAGGGTGAGACTCCCAAGGCTTGTGAGGACTCCTAAAGGATGAAATGTGCCTAAGCTCTTAAAAGATTTTACCTAGTTTGGGGAAATGGATTGAGAATGGGGGAATTGGGCAGGGGCTGGCAGGGGTGGGAATCTGAGTGTCCGACTTCTGCTGCTGAGACAGGTAAGGCAGGGAAGGTCGGCTCAGCAGCTAAAATGCAAAACCCAAAATACCGCCCCAGCCGGGGGCGCCCGGGCAGGGGGGAGCTGCGCCTCGGGCCCCAGCGCTAGCAGCCCGATGCAGTGAGTTTGAGGAGTTAAAAGTTGCAATGGTTTTGTAAGTAGTTTCTCCAGGTAAATGCTTTTATTTCCTTATTACATATTAGTTGTACTCACCCTACCCTTCCTTTAGCAAGTTGCTTCAGGATATTCCCCTTCCCTAAAAAATATCCTAGAGATTTGCAACTGGGTGATAGTAACAAGGGTGGTATAGAAGGATAAAGTGGGTTGGATCTCTTAAGGGAGGGTACCAGCCAGTTCCTGTAGAGGATTCTTACTCTTAATTTTTTGGTGCATATTTTTTTTTCCAGTCAAACCTTCCACTACCTCTGTAACATAGAAAAAAATTCTGTTTCTCTTTTCACATCCACTTTTCCTTAAGCTGTTGCTTAGTTTAGCCACAGAAGCTCTCGCTTTGAGTGAGGGATTTGGCCTAGGTTTTTTGGGACTGGCTGGTTGAGGATACTATTAGAAGAACAGTAGATCCTGGCTCACCCTAAAGTGAGCTGGAAAGACTGGATGAAGGAATTGTTTTTACCCAGACTTTTCCCCTCTGGGTAAATGATGAATATAATGTGAATGTCTTGACTGGTCAATAACATTTCTTTTTTTGCAGCAGCAGTAGAGGCTGGGGGAGGAGGGGGGTTGCATTATGGGATGGAACTGGGCTGGCTTCACAATCTGAAGGATTTATAGCTGATGTGGCTAGGTTACTTTTGAGATGTGCTCGCTGCTTCCGTTATTCTGCAGTAATGTAGATTTTGTTCCCAGCAAGCACTCTATTTAGGTTTCCTCCTAGAAACTTTAGACAAGATTTCCCAAAGCAGGTGTGAAGCAATCCCTTATCCAAGGAATCATTGGGGCCATAGGAGTTGCCTCTCTGGATCCTTTTCATATGAGTTTTGGGGGAGGGTGGGCTTGTTTATGTGCACTGTAGATAATGGCAATTCCATTTGCCGTTCCCTTTCCCCTGGATATTCCTCCTAATCTATTGCAGCGGCATACAAGCACGCCGATGGGAAAAAAATTGATGGCAGGCGAGTGCTGGTGGATGTAGAGAGAGGACGGACGGTGAAGGGATGGCGCCCACGTAGACTTGGTAAGCATGTGGAAAAGCATATCAAAACCACACTGTAATTGGTTCTAAATGCCATCTTTTTTAAAGTTCTGAATAATGTACTGGAGTACTATGTGCACTTTAGCCTCCCACATTAAGTTGTTCACATTTACTAAAGGTGGAGCAAGTTTAGAAAAGTGGTAAATAAAGTTCAGTACAATGAAGGGCAAGGAAGTTAGTATTTTTTTCTAAAAAGAAAACTTGCATAGAATTATCAGCAGATTCAACCCAAGTAAATGATGTGTTCTAAATAGGCTTTTGTTAAGCTAATTAAGGTACTTTGTGATGCATTCATACATTATTAAGCCATAATTTGAACTGTGCTTTGTTGAATAAATTGAAATACTCTGGCTTTTACTTACCCCAAGCCATGAGTTGGCTGGCATTTCATACTAAGCAAAACCAAACTTCATTATGGCTTAGCATCAAATGTTAACCATTATTAATAAAACATTTTCCTCTTGATTCTCTTGTATTAAACAGGATTCCCTTTTCTTAACTTTTTCTTTTTCCAAGATTAATTATTTCTATTGTATATATATTTCAGATACTTTGAGTAGGTTAAATTTAAATTTCTGATAAGACTAAACTGAGTAAGGACTCCTGCATGAGAATATGTTTTCTACTAATTCTGTCAAATTCCAAAGAGGGCAGCTTCCAAAGAGAAAATACAACTGGAAACAACTTGTATTTTCTTTTCATTTGTAGGTGGCGGTCTCGGTGGTACTCGACGAGGAGGTGCTGATGTAAATATAAGACATTCAGGTCGAGATGACACTTCTCGGTATGATGAACGGTAAGTCAGAATGTATTGGGATAAAATAGGATGGTGTTTCTGCCATTATTTCTGATTTTAAGAGTGTTAACTGTGTTTCCTTGTGGAAGCAACAGAAAAAAAAGAGTCTGTTTGGTGTAATGGTTAAGGTACCAGGTTAGAAAGCAGGAAATTGTGTTGTAGCCCTACCATAGGCATGGAAGCTGGCTAGGTGACTTTGGGCCAGTCACTGTCTCAGGGTTGGGCCAATCCATTTTGTTAGGGTTGTGTGGAAAATAGAAGGAAAGTATTAGGTATGTTCACCGCCTTTAGTTATTTATAAAAATAATAAAGGCAAGATAAAAAATAACTCTTCTTTTTCAAATTTTTATGTAATTCCGGTTGCATGTTAGAGGATCCACAAAGCCGATAGAAAAAAATAATCTGATATTTAAAATTTGAAGATTCTTAATTGGAGCAAAAAGTCTTTTATTTGGTTAAAAAATTACATCATGTACAAATTGGATAGTATTTTTTAAGGTTCTTAGACAGTATCTTTGTGATTACATTTGAAGTCTGTTGATCATAATGGAAACTTTACTTTTTCTTAATGAAAAAACTAGATTGCATTGCTGATGCTGTATGCTCAGACATTCATTCTAATTCTTTGATGCTTATTTTACTTTGGTTCTCTCAGGGATAGGGACCGTGAACGTGAACGTGATCGCCGAGACCGCAGCCGAGACCGGGACAAGGAGCGGGAACGCCGTCGCAGCCGATCCCGAGAACGCAGGAGGCGAACACGGAGTCGAGAGAAAGAGGAGCGGAAACGTAGCCGGGAACGAAGCAAGGATAAAGACCGGGAACGCAAGCGTCGGAGTCGTTCTAGAGACCGCAAGCGAGATCGGGACCGAGATAGAGAAAAGAAGGAGGAGTTGCCAGAAGTGGGAGAGGCCCAGCCTGATGAGGCTACTCTTGGCGAGATAGGTATAGATGGGGTAGAGGTGAAGCCTGAAGGAGAAGAGAAAGGGAGAGAGAGGGAGAGGGATCGGGAGAGAGAGAGGGACCGTCGGCGTGGTCATCGTGACAAAGACAGAGACAGGGAACGTGATAGAGAACGTCGTCGTGATAGGGATCGAGATAGAGATCGTGATCGTGAGCACAAGCGTGAGAGGGCTGAGCGGGGTGGAGAAAAACGGGAGGAGAGAGGGCAGGACAATGGGATGGGAGGAGCATTGGAGGAAACCAGTCAGGATATGTTCCTGGACCAAGAATCCATACAGTCAGCTGATGGCTACTTATCTACTGAAAATGGATACATAATGGAGCCCCCACTGGAGTGATGGAGACTCTTCCTTGTCCAGCCAGGTGAGGCTCTGCTTCCCAGGCTGCTAGCCAACGAGGCCCTGTCAGCCAGTTGAGGTAACTGATTTTAACTGGTTTTGTTTAGAAGGGTAAGTGTTTCAGGTCTGTTTGTCCCATCCCATTTCTTCTTAACATGTAACTTTCCACCAATCCCTTATGTATTTGGATATTTTTGTTTAAACAAGAATAAAGTGTTAAAATGTTTTCTTCATGTGAAATGTATATGACATTGGGATGATAGCAGAAGTGCTTTGCTGATTCTCAATTACTAATAATGAGAGATCTGCTATAGAGGTATTTAGTTTCATGCCAGACTGCTGCTGAAAATATATTGATAATCAGTGATTCAGGGTTTTGCTTGTGCTTTGGGAGAGAGGGCAGAGGGAGGCTGGAGCAGGAAGCAGCAGGTAGAAAGCATCAAAAGGTAATGAAAAAAATCAATTGTGGGAGCAACCAGGTCTTTGCTCTCTTATCAATGGCGAATGACTTTATAGATTGAGGAAGAATGTGAGCAAACTTCAACAAGATGCACTGAGATCAGCCTGGTTTATCTGCATTTGGCTGATGTGGGAAATGACATAAAGGGAATATTTAGTTAGAATTACATTTATACATGGACAGAATTAATAATAATTTCAAGGTGAGCAATAAAGAAAAAGATTGCATCTCACAATTTAAATGAATGCATTTTTAGAACTTATTTTTCTAATAAACCTATTTTAGCTTGCTCAATCTATACTTTGGAAAGGGATGCACAATAAATTAGGATACTAAATATTTATTTTCAGTTACTGGGCATGGTTCACTATGCTTTTGGCATCTAAGATTTTGAGTAGTATCTTTGTATTTTCAACCACATGGTTGAAGTCCCAAAGCCTAGAAGCTTGTTTTTTAATTATGAAGTGAAAGATTCTACAAGAAATAAAACTCTGCACTGAATACCATATTGAGTATAAAATGCCTTCGAGTCTATCCTGACTCCAAGGATTAAGTGAGCAAGGACACTTAGGTTTTTTTGGCAACATTTTTTGGATATCAGATATTTTTTGGGATAGCTCCCATGAAATTCACAACTTTCCATGAACCTATATTGTGGTTAAAAATTAAAAAGTAGGTTTTAGTTTGATACAAAATTGCCTGGAAATTTGCCAGGATTGAATTACTACAATAGAAAACCACAAGCAGAATCTTTTTTTTTAATTGAAAACAAGAGTATAGAATGATGCTCAACTGAAGTTATGCTTCCAAACTCTCAGCTTCTCTGCTTCCATTTACATAACACCCAATATTGAAAGGGAATTCGTGCTTATTTCATGAAATAGTCATGCGAGTGTGATTTAATTGATGGACAGGTTCTTGCAAGCAAATATAGCAAATGAAATACCGCACCTGGATGAATTGGGCCTGAAGGGAAAAAGAAACAAGAACAGCAAAATAAATGTACACAGAAATTGATGGAAAGAAGATCTTTATTAGTTTGCACCTAAACTGTTTTTTCACAATAGGGTTAGACTTTTAATCAGAAATTTACTGGATTAAAGTTAATGACTTCTTGAAGTATTGAATCCCATTCTGTGACTCCTATCACTACACCACAGGAATATATATGATTTGTTTGTTCACGCATACTATGATACGCAAAGAGATTTTTACATGATTAAACTATAGTCTGTTACATGTTAGTAACATTCTATTAAAGATAGAGTCTTCCTCAAATAGAGCTCGACTCCTGGTGAATTGGGAACACATTTTCAGTTTTTCTGCTATGAATATAAGAAATAGCTTGCCACTGCTTTCTTAAATCTGTGTATATGCAGATTTCATTTATAATTGAGCTGGATTCTGCTTAGTTTTCAAGGCCAAATAAGCCTGGCCAAGTGCTATTCTTTACTGAGATATTTTTGCAAGACAGTTTCTGTTGCATAATTAAATCAAGCAATGAAAGTATTTGCTTACAAGTAACAGCAGGTTACTCTGATATTCACTTTGGTAGCAGGAGCTGATGGAAATGAGCTTCCAATATAACTAAAGGCTTTTAGACATCTGAATTAAAATAGAAATTTGTACAAGAGGCTGAGTTATACCAGAAAGTTGCAAATTCTTCCTGAGTACAGAAATGAGTTCAGCTGGCTGCTGTGCCTGTGAAATAAAAGGCTTGGCTGCTTTGATGTCATGGTAAAGGCAGGCATGATGGGAGTATTTCCTTACGTAAAGATTCATCCAGCGATTCCAGGCACGTTCGACGAGAGTCCATTTTACGTTTAAGGGAAAATTCGGCACCTGCTGCTTATGCACCATCGGCTCTAACCAAATATGGAGGAGGCTTAGGTTTAACATCTCTGAGCGTTGAACTTCCATCTACCGGCTAGCGGACTTCATGGTGTCGCCTTTCTTTTTCTTGGGCAACGGGAGAGGCGCCTATCTGACCTCAGTAGCGCCAGAGAAGCAGGGTCCTCAACACACGTGCCTAGGTAGACACGCGCATCAGTAGCCCGGAGACAGGGTTGTGCGCCGGCCTGCAGAATCATACACGCACTTCCCACCCTTCCGCTTTGACGTACGAGGCGGCGGTAGGGTTCTCGGACGTGAAGATGGCAGCGCTGGCGGAGCCTCTAGGGCTGGAGAGAGGTAAGGATGGAGATGGCTTTGCCTCGGAACGGAGATTCGCGTCGAATGTGCCTGGTGGATCGGAGAGAAGTGGTAAGGCAGCCTTTGAAGCGAAGGAGGGGATGTAATCATAGCTGGAATCTAGCAGCCCCGATTGCTAGAGGGCTGCCGAGAGAGAGGACGGAGTATCTGCAGACTTTTGGGGAGGGCTGGTGACATAAGAGTCGCCGTGGGTTCGGCGGCAGAGAAGCAGGGATGGGAAGGTGAGGACATGCGGTGCTTCCTGTTAGAATATGGTGGAAGCTGCTTCTTAATTTCCTTTCTGGCTATGGCCCCGTCGAAAAGACGCGAGCTGGGTTCTCTTCTTCTCTCCTTTTCCTCTAGGTAGTGAGATGCAGCGCCCCGGAGCAGCGAAGCCAGAAGCCATGGCTGGGTTACACTCTTCCGCCACTCGCCTTGAATTCGGTCCCAAATGCCCTCTAGCACTCTCGGTTCTGTTTTTTTTCTTTTTCTCTTTCTGTAGATGTGGCTCGAGCAGTCGAATTGCTGGAGCGGCTGCAACGCAGTGGGGAGGTGCCCCCCCAGAAATTGCAAGCCCTTCAGAGGGTGCTACAGAGCAAATTCTGCTGTGCCATACGGGAGGTGAGATTGAGAAGTTTGTCCTATTTAAGTTGCCCCTCCTTCTGCCTTTCATATTTTTGCTTGTGTTTAACCTTTTTCCCCACTTCAGAGATGAGTTTCTTTAGAAAAATGTTTCGGAGTAGGGGAGGTGGAGTTAAAGATGATGGTTAAGAGTGTCAGTTTTGCAAAATATGTTTAGTATAAATACCAACTGGGTTTCCGCCCTGTGCTTAGGCTGGGCTAAAAGGTGGTTGTGAAATTTTGTGGGAACCTAGCCATCATCTTATCACTTATGAACTAGGCCTGTGTTAAGGGGCAGAATGTACCCAATTTGTTTGGACAAAACTCAGCAGCACTTTTTCGTGCAGCTGCTAATAAAAATAGGATTGCCAACATGATTGCCAACGTCCGATAACAGATATGGCACAAGAAGAAGAATAGACTGCTACATTACAAAACACATAGCATTAGTTCTGAAGGGCCTCTCCTCCTTTTCCAGCCCTAGTCACGATTCTTCATCACCTCCTAACATGTAATTTCTGGTAATTGCACAGCTGGTGCAATGCATATCATGATAGGATTCTTATTTCAATCCACTCTCTACTACCATTTCACTCTTTTACTCTGCCATTCTGCATCAGATTCTCCCAAGAATTTCATTTAGCCATTTCCATTTCTGTTTGTTAGTTATTTCTGATTTTTTTATTTCTTTACTCTCCCTTTTCTTTTTATTACCAATGGCACCTAACTGGATCTTGAATTTTGCAGAGTCTTGCCATTGGAAAGCGATCTTCTTGTCCTCTCTTGTATCTCTGGACAGGTTTATGAGCAGCTGTATGACACTTTGGATATCTCGGGAAGTGCTGAAATTCGGGCACATGCTACTGCTAAGGTAATTCAACAAGCTTTTTATAGTGCTACTTCTGATAGCACTATAGAAGTCTGGATCTGTGTCGCACTTTTTGCGAATCTAGGAAAACACAACTGCTTTCAAGTTGTTACTGACAAGTGCCATAGGCACATCCATGTGCTTTCCAAATCACATTTTCTCTCTCAAATCCGCATCTCTTCACACCCTATTAACCTTTGATTTATATTCCCTAATTCTCTGAAATGGTAAGCAATCCAATGCTCACCAGATACTCCATCCATTGACCTTTTAAGGGTTCAGGATCTACCAGGGTTGTGTAATGAATTGGATTTGAAGGTACAAAACTGTTTTGAGACATATAGGGGCAGTCAGTAATATGTGTCTACCCTCCACAGCTGCAGTACAACCTGAGATGTGGATGTATTTGATTTCAAACAGGTGTTAGGTGCCTATACCGAGTGGGGGTGGGTGAGTGGGTGGGCAGGGATAATGTCATAACTTTGCAGCTCTTTCCAAAAGGAAATACATCTGGCATTAATGTCTGTGTGTAAGATATCTGTTCATGACTTAATTTTTTAAAGCATTTGGAATGCAAGCAATGTTGTCCCTGCTTTATATTATTGTGATTTTTTTTTCTCTTTTGGTTTTCTAATCATTGCTACATTGTGTTCAGCATAATTATTATTTATTCATGTTTGGTTAAATATTTTGGGATTCATTTAAATGAAAGCTGGTTTAGGAATTTTTGAAACAATTATTTTAAACACTGGTGAACAAAATAAAACGATGGTTACCTATATGTGTCTGCGAGTATCATAGAAGTAGGTCATTGGTAATAACTCATCCTACTGGGTATATGTACTCTTGGGACTCAAAGCTAAAAACCTTTCAGGGTGACATTAATTGAAGAAAAAGTAAAAATACATCTGCTGTGAGAAACAGTCTTACATGCCTTAAAACTTCAGAAAGGGAAAGGGAAACAAAATATCCCTATTATACTAATTTATTTATAGGCGCCCCTGCTCTTCTACCAAAAACATTTTCTGAGGGATTACATAAAATCAATAAAAATAATTCTGAAATAAGTATCTGCAAGATTCCAAATTAAGGGATATGACTGGGCCAGTGACTGCAGGATGAGAAATAAAGTTTTTAAAATATCAAATTGATACATGATTATAAACATATTGACTTAATGTTATACTAAATGAATAAAGGAATGCTTTGCCTTTTTCTTAACATTTGATAAACTGTTACCTAATTCTTATCATTTATCATTTCTTTTGTTTTTCTTCTCCTTTCTGGTTCTCCTGAAAAATAAAACAAAACAAATATGATGGCAGCAACCATGCAGTTAAAACCTTGCTGCCTTTTAAAGTGTATTGCACATGTGACACACATTAAAAAGAAAGCAGAGCTTTGATTGTGTGATTACAGTTGCCACCTTCACACTTCCTCCTGCCATACCTCTATATTTGAAGCAAAGGAGATTGGGTCCCTTTTTGTTTTAAGCACATTTCCAAAAACAACGTATGTGGAACATTTTCTAATACATGCGTGCCAGAGGCGGCACTCAGAGTCCTCTCTGTGGGCATGCGTGCCATGTCCCAGAGACCATCTCTCTTCAACCAGCTGCCCGCTAAGTTGCCAAGGTCCCACGTGGCTGCATGCATCCCAGCACCCATGTGCTCATTGGCCTCTGTGTGCAGGGGGGGGCAATGGTATCAGGCAGCAGCCGCCCCAGCCCCTGCCTCGCCTTGCTCTGCGACAATGGTACCCCTGCCCTGTCTCACCTTGCCTCAACTCACCCCGCAGGATGAACCTCTTGCCCACCACCCCATCTGCCAGAGATCCCCTGGATCTTCCCAACCTTGCCTGGCCCCCATAGGCATCCCTCCCCACGAGCAACATCGAGATGACCACACCCACCCAGTTTGTCATGACCACCACAGCCACGTCCACCCAGTTGGCCACGCCTACCTGGCACCCGACGATAAATAAGTGTGTTTTGCGTTGCAGTTTGGGCACTCGGTCTCTAAAAGGTTCTCCATCACTGTTTTAATGCATCTAATTTGGATTAAGTATAAAAGGAGCTGTTAACAGGACATATAGAATTGAAGGAAACTATGTAATTTCAATATAGACTGAAATGAATAGAGCTGGGTATGCTAGCCTAAAACCATATTTTAGATTTATTATCTCTACAATATTTGTCATTAGATGCTCAACTTCCACTAACAGTTGTGCTACAAAGCTATGTGTCAAATTCTGAGAACAGGATATAAAAGTAATGTCAAATACAATTTCCATTCAGAAATTTGTTTATGGTATCAGAATTAGAATTTCTTTAAACTTCGTACTGTTTGTTATGTTTTGAATGTTGACTTGGACTCTCCTGGTCTTTCCTTTGTGTATGCAGGCAACAGTGGCGGCCTTTGCAGCTAGTGAGGGCCACGCGCATCCCCGGGTGGTGGAGCTGCCAAAGACAGATGAGGGCCTAGGTTTTAACATCATGGGGGGCAAGGAGCAGAACTCCCCCATCTATATTTCTCGCATCATCCCCGGGGGTGTTGCTGATCGCCATGGCGGGCTGAAGCGTGGAGATCAACTGCTGTCTGTCAATGGTGTGGTGGGTATTGGGTGAGGGGAGACATGTGACCCTTCTATGGCTGAATGGCAAAGATGTGGAGATGTGCATAGCATTTCTGAGCACTGACTGACCACTTCCTGATTCTAGTGAATGCTGAACCCCAAGTGTGTTAGGTAGCCAAAATGTCTTTCAGCAAATAGTGCGGTAGAATCTGTTGCAGAATTGAGGAGAAGACTGAAAACATTAGATAGCCTTCAATCACTGAGGTGGAGCAAGTGAATTAAAGGTGATCCTCCCTAAATGTTCACAAGGTTTTATGTATTAGTTTCTACAGCAAGTGCCTTAATTTGGCAAAACTCCTGTCAACAGGTGAGTAGCAATGAACATACCATTCTGATCAGTTTCTTGTGTCATTTCTGATTCCGTATGCCTGACAAATAGGTGCCTGCCTTCTGCCACCCTTGTCTAGTATCAGGTGGCCTGGGAATAGGGAAATTTTAATTTCCCACGATTCTTTCAGAATTGCTCCAGGCCACTATGGAAAATGAAAGCTGCCATTTTAATTTTGCATAATACTTTGGCATAATGCAAATGAAAAGGCAACTCTCCCAGATGCAGCTTCTCTTCACACTTAGAATACTGAAAAAAAATTTAAAGCTAAGAATAGGCATTGGCTACTGGGATTTGCTAAGGCTTTGTAGTGCTGAAAAGTGCTAAAAAATGTCCTGTGCTTACACTAGGCTTTGGATTTAATAGGTAGATTGGTTAAGGATTTGATAGCATTTGAATGAACAGAACCTCCATTTTGGATAAATAGCTTTTATAAAAATATGAACAGTTTATGCATGAAGAAGATAATTTATGACATGAAATGGTGATAAATCCACATATCAATTACATAAGACATCAGTCTGTATTACAGGACATGTGGTAGCTGAGATGATCCTCTGTCCTATCCTCCCTTAAACTCGCATTCTCCTAAAGTCTAAGCTGGCACAATTCTGTGAACTATAGTCCCAATATATCCAGAGGGCATCCATTTGTAGAAGAAACTATACATTAACTGCAAATCTTTATGAAGCCAAAACAAAATGATGCATACTCTAATAGAAGGCATTGATTGGAATGTGGGTCCAAAAACATCTTTTTGTGAAAAGGGATACTACTATAAGTTGTAGCAGGACCTTCCCTCATAAATCCCAGCTTAGTGAAAAGTGGCCATGTTCATTGCCAAAGAAATACAGGCCAAATATGAGAAAAATGGTTTGGATGACCTTCTTAGAGGTATTATTGGCTGGAAATCTGAATAGCCACCCTTGCCTCTCTCTAGCATTTTTTCTGAAGTACCGTTTGCCTAAATTTGTAATTTAAGGTAGAAAAGGTGGAAGTTCCTCAACAGTGATGGGTAGGGTGGGACAAGAGTTGTTTTTTTTTGTGTGAGGAGGATTGTAAGAGGAACAGCCCTTCCCCTTTCATGACCCTGCCTTTTTGTCTCCTCTCTTGCAGAGTGTGGAGGGTGAGCAACATGAGCGGGCAGTGGAACTTCTAAAAGCAGCACAAGGTACAGTGAAACTGGTTGTGCGCTACACACCCAAAGTACTGGAAGAGATGGAGGCACGCTTTGAAAAGATGAGGACAGCGCGGCGCCGGCAGCAACACAACAGTTACTCGTAAGAATGGATTCTGAAATGTGTATTGAGAATAACAGATACCCAGCAGGTTGCCAGTTTTTGTTTTAGAGGCAAGAGAAGGGAGTTGGTGGCTTTAAGGAATTTCTCCCCCCGAATTCCCCCATCCCTGAAAACACCAGCTGCTGCTTGTACCTTAGAGAAGTCCCCAACCTGTCTGGCATCAGGGACCGCTTTTGGGCTGGACGGTTTTGCATGCAACCTAGGAGTGGATGCTCAGATGAAACTTTGCTTGCTTGCTCGCCTGCTGCTTCTGCTGTCCAGTTCCTAAAAGGCCATGGACTGGTACCGGTCCAAGGCCCAGGGGTTGGGGACCGCTGTCTTAGAGGATTGTGATGTCTTCTAGGGCAGAAATATTATAGAGTGGTGTTAGTAATGCATTTTTTATTGCTACAGTTCAGGAAGACTTTTAAGTTCATTGGGAAATCTAAGAAAAAAGCATTCATTCATTCATTTTATTTGCCACCCATCTCTCTATGAGTCTACTGTGGGCTGCCTACAACAATAAAATTGGGGAAAAAAAAGATAAAAAATGTAAGAATAACAATAGTAAAGGAATAAATAAATACAAATAAACAGTGGAAGTACAATAATATGGAATTAAAAACTTGAGTAAAGCTGAAGCAGAAAGTGCAGGAGGGAGGTAAGGTCAGCAAGTTAGTCCAGCAGCCATCTCCTGTGTTGTACTCCCCTTTTGGGTCCCCAGGTCAACTGGCAGAGACAAGTCTTCAATCTTGTGGAAGGATAGGAGGGTGGGGACAAACTTTACCTGTGGGACAGGAAGTTCCAGAGGACCAGCATTACAATAGAGAAGATTCTTCTCTTGGATTCCATCAGTCAGAGTTCCTTGACTGATGGGATCTTCAACAGGCCTCCTCTACCAGCATGAATAAGGTGGGCTAATCTTAGAGGGACAAGAGAGCTCATCAAATAATGTGGATTTATGCACGGAGGGCTTTAAAGGTCATAACCAATACTTTGAACTGCACCTGGAAACAAACTGGCAGCCTTGCAGCTTGTGAAGCATTGGTATAACATGGGTCATTCTACAATCCCCAAAGACTGCTCATGCATCTTACATCAGCTGAAGCTTCCAAATGCATTTCAAAAGTGGCCCCATGTAAAGTGCATTGCAGTAATCCAGATGAGAGTTAACTAGGGCTTGAATGTGCAGGGAGTCCAGATCCAAGAAAGATCACAGTTGGTGCAATGGTTGAAGCTCTTCTAAACACAACCGCCACTTGATCTTCAAACAGAAGTTGCAAGTCCAGGAGAACTCTGAACTGGGTTGGGGGTTGCGAACTGGTTCTCAACAAGGCAGGGCAACCATCCAGAACCAAATATGCTAAAGACATGAATCTGGAAACTCCATGCACCCAAAGCCACGGTCTTGCCACGGTACAGTCATAGCCCGTTCCCCATCCAACCCCTGCAGCTTCCAAATACCATAGAGGATAGCAACAGCATCACTAAGTTACCAGGTGGATAAGTAAAGGTGAGTACCATCAGCATGTTGATGATATTTCAACTCATAGCGATGGATGATTTCATCCAGCAGCTTCGGGTAGGTGTCAAAAAGGACAGTGAGTATGACATAAGAGAGGCTGGATCTCTCACTCTCTGTCAATAGTGATTGGGACCAATCTTGGAGAAAGCTCAACCAGCACAGAAGTGCCAAGTCTTAAGCTCTATAGCAGGCCCATAGAATACCATAGTTGACCTCTGCTGAGAGGTCAGAGAGAGCCAGGATGTTTGCACCCATCCCGCTCTCGCCAGAGATTCACAGGTATCATCAATGAGGCCTCTGTCTCATAGCTGGCCCTGAATCCAGACTGAAAATCTGAACATTGTTTTCAGAGATTCTTCTTGATACAGAGTTTGTTATTTGGGAGCACATTCCCTCCTTCCAATTAATTGGATTGGAGCCATAATCCAGGTTAGGGTTATAATAGAAGATGGGGAAAGGAGCCTATTCGCTCCAAGCCAGCATTTGAGTTTTAAATTATCCCTTCTTTACATACTGTATCTGTAATTTTTTCTCTGCAACTTTAAGCTGCGTGGGTTTCGATTCCCCAAATCCCCTAGCTAGCTTGCTGGGCGGGGAATTCTGGGAGTTGAAGTGCACATATCTTAAAATTTGTTAAGATTGAGAAATGCTGATTTAAACCATAGCAAACAGATCTACCTTCAAGTTCCAACAAATCTGAAATGTGGGTTTTCATATATTCTGACTATTAGATATCCTTGTGAAAAAAAAAATCTAAATTTTTACTTACTCTTGAGAATTTTGGCTGTAAATTTCAGTTGGTTCTGTCTATCTACTTAGAGACTTCTGAAGCCAGTGCCTAATACTTCCAAGTATTATCTTGTCATTGCTGCAGAACTAAAGGGGCTGGGCTAGTTATATGGAAGACCAGATATTTGGGTCCATCAAATTTATATGCCCTGAGAATAGGGAGCACCTAATACTGGTTTCTGGTTGACTATACATAGAATCCATGCTATATTGCTGTCACAATTTGGGTTTTTTTCTCTTTCATTTCTACAGATCCTTGGAGTCCCGGGGATAAATTTGCACAAGAGTTAATTGGGCAGCTGATGAACCTGATCCATCCTCCCTATCCTTTGGAATGGTTTTACCTGTATAGCGGAGACATATTTATCTAGTCCCCTTCCCCGTGTTGGGAGGTGGACGTCAGTGTACAGTATTTATTCTTTACATTCCTCTTATTTAAAAAGATGTTCAGTGTAAACAATTCTATATGTTTGTGCAAGACCTTAACCTTTGTGAAGCTGAAAACAATAACTACAAAACTACCAAGAGAATCATCAATATCTCTGATATAGAAAACAATGAAAGAAAAATATACTCTTCCATGAGAAAAAAATCTTAGAGGAGCTTTCACCACTGTAGGCAAAGAAACCCCGTTTATCCATTTCCCTCCCCTTAATTCCCAGACACCATTGCTGCACTTTGGGTATAGGAAAGGTTTTTATGTTAAATAAACAGCTCTAGTGAGATGCAATTCTAGATGAAGCGTATTAGATGTATTCTGGATTCATAACGTTGTAGATGTCCAAATTGTTCTTTCAGTCTCACCTCCGTGACGGTTATTGTGAGAAGAAAATAGCAAACATGTTATATGTTTGATACACTGAATTTCTTGGGAAAAGCTGATAGTAACAATAGCAACAACCTGAGAGGGAGAAGATAATCTGAAGACATTAAGGTGATATCATAGTTTTCTTTAGCAAGCCCACATTAGAACAGGATGCAGCCATTTACAGGAAAAAAATACGGGGAACATCAGTTTCATCCCCTTGATTGACCCTCAGTCTCCTGGTCTGTAAAATAAGAATACAACTGCTCAGGATCTAAAAGAGATGCAGTAAAATTCCATGAAAGACGGAATTACAGAGTATTTCTGAGATGCAAAATACTATAGATATCTGCATACATGAAGTGTATTTGATTATGATATGAAAAAGCAGAGAAGTTCCCACTCTTCCAGTGGCATCAGAATGGAATCTGTAGTATGTTTCTCTCATCAGCTGTTTCCAGCAGCCTTTCTCATCCTTGGCAGGCTGAAGATGTGTGGATGTCAACTCCCAGAATTTCCCAGCCAAAATGTTATTCTAATCTGATATTTATTTGGAAGCAAATTTCTTGGGGACCACAAGCAAGATGTAAGTGGTAACCTCTTATTTTTTTTTATCCTTTTGTGTGCCCCCACTTTTCACTTCCTTTAGACCCCAATTTATTCTCTCCCTTTGACCTCCCTTCTTTCCACCTCCCCAGTTGGTGACCAAAGGAAAGGAACATTCTTCTCATCAGCATCATGAACAAGGCGTTTTCAGGGAGCTTTTGTATCAGGTTGAGGTCCAGAGGTTTTCTGTCCTCTTCCTTTTTCATGGCAAAGCAGCAAAGCATGGAGCAAGGGGGAAAAATACTGTAGGAGGAAATGCGGTGATTTTTATCTGTCTACCAGCAGGGGATGATCTTACTACATTGTTGGAACTAAAAACCGCCCTTCTACTTATATTCAGCAAGCTAGACACATAATCCAGTTTTTGTATTAATCCACTGTCTCTGCTTGCACTATCGAACACCAAGACAATAAATTAAGCCATGAAAAACGAACTCAAAGGAACACTAATCAAGCTGCATGTATGAATGCAGCTTTTCTTTAACCCACCTGGGTCAAGCAGGTGTATCAACCAAAGAATTTTAGGCTGAGATGGCATTGCTGGGAGCTGGCATGAAATTGATCAAGATTCAAAGCCTTTAAATGGTGATGGAATGCAATAGGAAGGAGTTGGGGCATGTAGTGGCATCACCAAGAGCTTTGATTCACTCCAGTTTTTTCATGGAGGAGCATGTGACAGGTGTGGTCTCCCAACTCCATTTATCTGATCCTTGGGCCCAGAATTGGTAGTCCTCGACTTAAAACCTTTTGTTTACCAATAGTTCGAAGTTACAGCGGCACAGAAAAAGTAACTTATGATTGGCCCTCATGTTTATGACTGTTGAACATCTCTACCTTCAGGTGATCAAAATTTGGGTGCTTGGCAACCCGCCTGTATTTACAGTGGTTGCAGTGTCCCAGGGTCATGTGATCACCATTTGCAACCTTCCCAGTCAGCTTCCAATAAGCAAAGACGGGGAGGGGGAGCAGATTTGCTTAACAGTCACATGTTTCACTTAACACCTGCAATGATTTACTTAACAACCATGAGAAAAAAGGTTATAAAATTGGGTGCGACTGATTTAACAACCTAACTTTTGCTTAGCAACAGAAAGTCTGGCCCCAATTACAGTTGTACGTTGAGATATACCTGTACTGCTGCCACAATACCTACTTATTTTGCTGCCAAACTTTGGTTGTGTAATCACAGACTTTTAGCAGTGCATGTTTTTTTCTCTTTTATCTAAGATAAGTCCATTCCTTATCAACATGGCACAAAAGTAAAAGAGTCCTCGCCTGGTACATGGCTTGGCATCTTTTTAACTCAAAATGCAATATAGAACAGAGGTTCCCAAACTTTCTCGGTTTATAGCATCCTTTGTGGCTTTGTAATTTTTTCATAATGCTCTGAGGCCAAAACTGTGAAGTATCTTAAGCTAATAGTTTGCATGCTGTCTAACAGATGTCAAATATCACTGTGTTTCCTGAAAAATTAAAATATTTCATGATGCCCTTGTGACTTTCTTGCCACATTCTAGGATAGAGATAAAGTTCAAACCCAACCTTATACTTAATTCTAAAGGGATTCTGCTTCTAAAAAATTAATAAAACTTTTGGGGAAGTTGAAATTATATTCCAATACATCTGTTTGCATTCTTCTAAAGCCCCATGAGGGGAAAAATATGTTTTTTAGATCTAATATTGGAATGTTGGAACAATGTATGAAGGAAGGACTGACATCACAAAAATGAATTCATGCAAGCGGGGGTGTTTCTGATAGAAATCTTTTGGATCCATATTCTGCATGCAGTGGTTTCCTCAAGCTAATATCAGTTGTGTTGTTCCTCCCTGCCCTGTTGAAGATATGGTTCTATATAGCAGCGGCTCCCAACCTTTTTTATACCCAGCAGCCCTAGAACGCTTCTGATATATTCTCGCACTCTTTACAAAAGTTCGAAATAACGGCAACAAATTATGCATGTACACTATAATTTTGAAAACCCAAGTTTTCACACTCCCTAGAATATTGTCTCGCACCCTCTGGTTGGGAACCCCTGACATATAGCATTATGATCAGAAAAAGTGGCCATAGTTTTCAGTGTATTGGCTTAAGCAATCACCAGAAAGCTATGATATTTAAAAATTTGAACTTATAAAAATGCTTGTTATCATGTTCTATGTTTGATAGGCAATTAAGTCCCAGGAAATGTAGAGGACTCCTGGACATTAGTACTGTGTACCACATTATTTAACCCTTTCCTGTTTTAGGAGCTATCCTAATGAAACTTTTACTACTGAAAGAGTCTGCTTCCCCACTCTCCAATCAAATAATAGTTTTGGCTTTTTTGTTTCTTTTGGTAGAGAATGGGGAGGCACCAACAGCTCTGTTCTTGCTAATTATCTGTCTACCAGTTGATGCTATTTGTGCTTTTTAAATCCTTGTTTGATCCAAAGATGCATTTAATTAGTTTAGCCCTGACAAGATTTCATGAGCACTTGATTATTTAAAACCTCACCCAGAATTAGGCTATGGCTGATGTTTAATTATTATAGCCTGCCCTATGTTGGTATAATAAGCATCAGTAAGAAGGATTCAGAATGCAAAGAGGCACTTTAGAGATACTTCTTTAAAGATCTCCATCTGCCTATGGGATTGATTTGTTTGTATTTATTATATTATTTTATGGCTTTAAATCCTTTGTTCTGTCCTTCTTGGGAGTAGCTCTTCTTCACACTGTTGTTGACACTGGTACTTGTCAACAACCTCCTTATTGTCACTGTCCCTAACATACATATATTTAAAAAAGGACAAGGAAGTTACCTGGCTGGGACGGACACACTACTACCTGACCCTAAGGATCACCTGATGCCAAACTAGGCAGTCTTGGTCCTTCTTGAAGAAGTGTCAGAGATCTCTGTGAAATTGCAACAAATTAAATACATGTGTGTAAATACATTAGTAAATGAGTGAAGCATGGTATTTAAGAAATGTGTAGCAATATTTCTTGCATCCTTTCCCCCCATGTTAAAAATATTGTGGAGGCAAGTGTTGTAATGTCAACTAGAGAATTATGATACAAATGTATGTACCAATGCTTGAGAAGCAACTTAGGCCCAGGGCCTTGTCTGGTTAAAGCAAAGTAAGATTACTGTCATTTTCATAGAAATACATCCTTATGTTACATTACAGGCTGATCAATTCTTTTACAGTAGGAAGGCAAGTGAAAAGAAAAAATAAAAATAAAGTTTAAGAAAATGAAATTCAGTTTCTAGGGGAGAATGACATAGGTGACATATCATGATGTTCCTGGAATTAAGGCCAGAAATGGATGACTTATTTTACTACAATAGTTGTATTACTTCGAGAGTTTTGTAATGGGCTGTATGTAGAGATGTGATAGCAGTAGCTTGGATTCTTGTTGGTTCCCACTCACTTTACTCCAAAGAAATTCCTATCTCACTCATTTGCCAGGAAGAAAGTAAGTGGCAACTCCTTTCTGCAAGTGGCATGATGTGTCAGGGAGATGTGTGTTCTCACTGTGAGCACCAAAGATTCATTAAAAATTTAAAATCATTATTATATATAGCAAACTCAGAGATCTAGGAGAAAGTGGAAAGAAAGGAGAAGAACTGAACATTCTTGAGGCTAATTTCAGACGCTTCAGTTCAAGAACAATAGCTGCTCTTTCATCCAGGTTATCACATAAATACACATCTATGGAACATGCCTACCCAATCTAGATCTCACTTCATAAAACAGTATATTGCAACAAGTTTCCCTGGCCTCATTTTGCTGTTAAAATCCACTTGGTTTTAGCCCATTGGCTGTTTGCTGAGACTCTGCCCTTTTAACTTTAGAGGAGAAAACACAAAAGACTAGAACACCAAGGCCAAATGGGAAATCCACCCTCTTGTTTGACTCCTTGATGTTTGAATTTCATAGGCTTTTGTGTTCTCTGCCCATTATCAATCATCTGAGATTGACAGGTCAGCTACCTTTTCTTTACCCCTTTTAATATCTAGACCTCTTTAAAGGGAATGTCTGTATTCACTATAAGTTTGAAAGACCTATTGTACTCTTGTTCTCAACAAAATTGAAACTAGGGCCATAAAAATTAAGCTTGTTGCCACTTTAGCAATATAATCAAACAGCACACTGAGCCATGAACTAGGCAGTGAGATTTTAGCCTGGTGTGTTATGCCAACCTAACCCTTGTGATTAGTTCATGTTCAGGATGTTGTATGAATGCAAGCCCTTGAGCTAACTGATAAAAATGTAATGAAATTAGCATTGAATAAATGCATTCTATATTCATAGAATTGTTTCCAAATCTGGATAGGTCAGACTTTACATAGCTGGAGACACTTTTTTCAATGCCTTTTTTCCCCACCAAGAACTACAAACATGATCAAGTGGAAAATGTCAGATTTTTGCCAATGTTAAAGTAAGTTTTTAATGTTTAGCTTACATGCTTTGGTTGTAAGTTTCAGTATCCTTTTTTTCATCCATCTAGAGCAGGGGTGTGAAACTGCCGGCCTGCAGGTTGGTTGCATCATATGGAGGCTGCACCCAACCCAGCTCCGGCAATGCAAAAAAAGTCGCAATACATCCACGACACATGACCGGGCGAGTTTGACACCTGTGATCTAGAGCTCTGGCAAGATCAGGGCTGCAGCAGTGTAGTTATGTTTTTATATATCTTTTTTCTAGGGATCAGTAATTGTTTTCCAATATAGCCTGTGTTGCCCCAAAAACATTTTAAAGCCATTGAATGAGCTTTCTGTTAGATACTGATATATTTACATCAATATAAATGTCTGCCTCACACTGACGTGTAATTGTGTACGTGCATACATGCCTATGTAGTGTAACATAATGGTTAAGATATTAAACTGAGACTCCCAGTTTGAGTTCTGACTTATTCCTCTGAATTCACCTGAGTGACTTTTGGTCTAATCCAGTAGTTCTTAACCTTTTTGAACAAATCACCCCCTTGAGCCAATGAGGAAGTTGTCATCGCCTCCCTCCTCCAACATAATCTCTCAATCACAACATAGGAAATAATTCTTCAATTTATGCAAACACTTTTCTTTAAAATTGTCATCAGGACATGCAAATAATTTAATTCCAGTCTTTTTCCCATATCTCAACTGTGTGAAAAATTTTGGTGCCACCTGTCACTTTATTCCCAAATTTCATGATACATGTATTTCATTATTATCTTATTTATTCAAGACAGTTAAATGTAATGACCACTGAAGACAAAATTCAATGCAAGAAAGTGAAATGCCCAAAAAGAAAAACAGTAACATTTAATGATTGAATTACAAGTGAAATTTAAGACGCAAAAAGAAATATAAAAGGGGCATAAGAACAAACTGCAATGCAGGAACTAAGAATTTCAAGACGAAACTCTGAAACTAAATTAAGATTCGAGGAAAGTATATATAGTCACGCACACTGTAAAACGGATTAAAAAGACACCAAATATAATATTGAACTGGAGTACACGCTAAAAAAGTACAATACAAAGAGACACACAAAATGTTTTACAGAGCACAACAAAAATTTGAAAATGAAGCTGAAAATTCAAACTGGAAAGTGAAATCCAATGCAAGCAAATACAATGATAAAAGCTCATATAATTATTAATGAAAAAAGGTATGTACACAAAAAGCAAAAAAAAAAAAACATCAATGGCTGCCTTGTGAGGTTTGCCACATTTTGCTATCAACAAAGATACTTCATAGGAACAAATGAGCCCCTTGTCGGTGTTGAGTGACAATTTTCCAAATAACTTCCCAACAGTGATGCAACCCTCAAACATGGCCTTTAAGAATTGGAAAAACGACTTCCGGTTCCGATACACGGTGACGCCGGTCACATCTAGGGACTCGTCTCCAGTCCGGCTGGGTTTTCTGCGTTGGTAGACCTCCTAGTGGGTCAAAAGTTGTCCTGGAGGGGCGACCACCGAGAAGGAGGCTTGCTGGTGACTGCGGGAGAGTGGCAGCTTTTCCCGCGGCCCCAGCTATTTCCTTAGGGCCGATGGAGCAACGATCGTCCTGCAAGACGATTATTATCCTGCTGCACCAGCCAAAGTCACAATTACAGCTAGGCGATCTTAGACCCACCGCGGAGGATCCGGGTGAGACCCTTTTTGCCTCTCTCTTTCCCCCACTTAGTTTTTTTTTTTTTTGCCTGAAAAAACTTGGTTGGAATTATCTCCCCATTTGGAAAAGTCAGCTTCTGTGTGCGTGGGAAGAAAGGTGTTGAGAACAAAGAATTTTTAAAGGCTAAACTCTATTTTAGTCATTTTGGGATACAGGAAAAAATGCTGTTTCAAATTGTATAAGTAGCTAATATTGGAAGATTATTTTTTTCCCTACTCCTTCCTTTAAAGGATAGAAAAAAGGACAAAAAAAATGGTGTCTGGAAAAGATTTTCTATTTACTGAGGACATCTAGTGGTGAAAAGTTAATATTGCAACTATTTGGAGAGAAGGGTTTGACCTTAAGATTATTCCTGGAAAAAATAAGCTGGTGCAGCTGTGGGAACTGAGGGGGTGGACACTGTTTAATTACAGCCCTCATAAAAAAAATAATAAAGGAAGGACTTCCTTTAATTACTTTTAAAATGGAGAAACCCTACCCTCACTTAAACTGTAAGCTTATACTGGAAAAGATCTATGAGGTTTCTGAAGAAATACGTGCTATAAGGAAAGGGATTATTACAGAACGAAGAGTTAATTCCACCCCAAACATTCAAACTGACTTTCAGACTATAACTGTTTATTCTACAAACCAAAACATACCAGAAGAGGAATTAAGGGAGGAATTCGTTACAAGGAAAGAGAATACCACAGAACTAAGAACTAGAGATTCTTCTTTAAATCTGAAAAGTGACTTTCAGACTATACCTGATTATTCTACACATCAAAATACACTAAAAGATGACTGTATTGAGGATACAGAGGAACTTATTTCACTCTACAAGCATCTTACTTATATTTTTGAGGATCGGAAAAAGCAAAGACTGAGATTTGAACCTTCAAAACAGTGGGGTTTCAAGAATAAGAGAAATGGAGCTCCAATGCAGAGGACAAGAAGCTTATTATTGCCGCAGGTGGCATCACAAGCAATAAAGAGAGACTTATCGGATGAAAGGGAAGCGTTGCTATGGAAACCTGTTTGGCAGGAAAAAAAGCCTAGAATAAGACTGAAAAGAGAAATTTAAAGTTATATATATTGGATATAAGGCATTTTAGAACTATGGATTGATTTTAGGATTAAGTTCTTGAGTAGTTTATTATATGAAAATTATTATATAATGGAATGAAGAAAAATGAAGAGATGTTCTAGTTTTGTTTGATAATATGACTATTAGGTTTTATAATTAATTGGACGAAATTAGAACTTTGTTTAACGGATTCAAATAATTTAAGGTTGATAGTATTTTGTTTAGTTAGATATGTATAGGATAGATTAATATTTTATCAATTGGGAGAGATTAGTAGAAGAAGGAATAAACAAGATTTATGATGAAATTAAAAAATTAGGATATAGCTGGAAGGGATACCTGAACTGATAATGTGTGTACTTGCAGTTAAATTTGATTATGGTATTGTAATTGCATAAAGCTCTAAAACAGGTTTAGGATTAATAGTAAATTAAATTAGAAATAGACTATTTTAAATATATAAGTTATTTGAGGGAAATAGAGAGGGAATAATTGATGTATTGATTGAGTTATTGATATATGTCTTGTTGTTGGATTTTTGATTACCCCAGCACCACGGTGTGTCTCAAGCACTTTGTATTAAGATCTAAAAAACCAATAAAACTTGTTTAAAAAAAAAGAATTGGAAAAATGATGCCGGTTTGTCGGCTTTAACCGAATGAATTCTTATCAAATGGTCTTTCACTGGGGAAGGCTTCATCGCTTCATTTGAAAATGTTTTCTCACAAAGAAGACAATATGAAAGCTGTACATTGGAAGGAGATGGAATGAATCCCAATTTTAGGTATTCCGTCGAATATTGGCGACACTTCCTCTTCTCGGCCATGTTGAGAGGACTTCGAAATGAAAGGCACTACCTGCAAATTAAATTTTTGACTGCACTGGAACACTAGAAAAACACATGTAATAAAACTTTTTGAATTAAAAAAAAAAAGAAAAACGTGGACGTTGATAAACCTAGTTTCAACAGTTACATTGTCATTACAGCTGATATCACAGGGGACAGCCACTCAGCATGCAATGTTTCGAAAGAAGCGCTCCCCCCTCCATCACTGCCCATTCTGGCCAATGGCGCATCACTGTACGGATAGAGGCTGCTGCGCAATGTGCATGAAGATAAGCGATGCGTATTCACATATGTACGGCATTCTGTACTGAAGCTAGCTGGAGGAACATTTGAAAACAATTCAATCCACTAATAGTGAGCAATCTGATGTTTTTGTACAACAGATATACAGCGATTCACTGTACAAAAAAGTCTCAAAAGTGTCCTCAAAACTTCTCGCTCCATCGTCCCATCACCCCCGCATTGCCCCTTTTCATTCCATCACCTCCCTGAAAAATGAAATCGCCCCCTGAAGGGTGATATCACCCAGGTTAAGAACCACTGGTCTAATCCACTTCATGGAGCCATCTCAATCCAACCTGCCTCATAGGATTCTTGAGAAAATAAAATGAGAGGAAGCCCTCCAGGTATACCATGTTGAATTCTCAGAGAAAGGCAAGATAGAAGTGCAATAAATAAATAATGTCTTATGTATGCAGTGGAGATTTTCATTGGTATATGTGCCTGTCAGGATGATCTAATGTTAGTGTATGCCCAACAACAAGAAATCTTTATAAAATTTTGCTCCATCACTTCTGCCAGAAATCAATCCAGTTTGAACAATTCAATCCAAATATGCCATTTCATCATGGACATAACTCAAAGTGCTGGAGGTAGGATCTTAACACAATTAATTTTAACATAAGAGAAAAATAATAGTGTGTATATTTTTACTACATAATTATACATACATACATACATATATATGTGATATCTGTTAGACAATATAGTTTTTTTAAAACAAAAATCCCTTCAAAAGGTAAAGGCAAGTGAACATTAAACATCAAACAATAATGAGGAGGAAAGAAAATCCTATAAACATGCCCAGATGATAAAATCAGTTAAGCAAGCAATTGAGGCTATTTTAACCAATTAAGATAAAATCATCTAAGAAAACAGAAGCAATCTTCCAAACCAGGAGAAGAAACAATTCGTTTTCATCCAAGTCTAAAAAGAGTAAAAGCTCAAGTAGCTACCACAGAGAAGGCGCCACATTCATAAAGTCCGCTTTTTATAGGCCATTAATCCTCCAAGTGATGCTCATGTTGTGTGCTTCTCATTTTCTTGAGCAATAAGAAATTTCAGAAGCAACATTAATGGGCTGATTTTCTTTTGGATGGGAAAGAGAAGACCTGAGGCTTATGCCTGTCTAGTTGATTTATGATCATGGCACAAACAGCAGAAGCAGAGGTTAGCAGGTACTCCTAAAAGGCAAAATATGTGTGGAAAATAATTTGGCAATGAGCTCTCCTAAACTGCACACAGATCAGAACTCCTAGCTCTGTGCCGCTAAAAGAACTGCCAGTTGTATATTTCACCCAGATTGGCTCACAATATATACTAAAGCTAAATTTAAATTCAAATGGATTAAATGCAATTGTTCGCATACCATGGTATGCCCAAACACATGAATAGTACTATGGTTTAATCTGACTCACCTACATATCAAGACAATGGCTGTATCCTCAGAATCTCAGTTCAGCGTACTCTTGTGGGTTACCTGGATCTAGTTAGTATAATAATCAGTATCTATAATGAGCATCTTCTCAAAACAGGTTTATTTATTTA